CAGACAGATCTGTTCATGGTAACAAGATCATGGTGGACAGGAATCATTATAGGAGGTGAGAGATTATTTTGCTAGAGCAAAGAAAATTCTAGCACATGATGTTCTATGATTCCAGGTATAATGTTGCTAAAGCGCAGATGTGTGATAACACATTAATTTGATTAATAAGAAAAGCACCTCTCTGTGTTATCTGGAGAAGGAAATACTGCTTTAGACACTGAGGAGACATGAGGTTTTAACTATTATTACAAGAATTGTCTCTTTAAAAAAGCATGTTCTGTTTCTGCCTCTGAGAACACAATTAAAATGTAAGAACCTTCTTATTGTGCCACCTGCTGTGTACTGCATTACACTGCTCCAATGTCAACCTATCCAAGTGCCCTGCAAACAGTGCTGCACACATACAGCCAGAGGAGGCTGGAGCTCAAGTGCATGACCTAGAAACATACTGACAGGGAGAAGGATGCTGAAAAAGTCTGTGAGAGACAGAGACACAGCCTTAGCTTGCTGCATCACAGTGAAACTTGGGAAGCTTCGGGGTAGGAGGAGAGAGTGTATTTATTCCAGTCTCATTGGTGACAGCACACGTACACACGTGTATATGTAGCCATAGATATAATTATGGACATATATTTGCTCTCAGAGAGGTCACAGGTGCCTGAATCTTCTCTCACTTCTGGGCTCATTGGCATACATGTCACTATGTAGATCTCTGTACAAAGTAAAAAAATAAATGTGTATATATAAGTACATATAGATATATAAAATAAATATATAGATACCTGTTAAAAAATAAATAATTTTCAGAAGTATTTTTGTCTAACATGATAATCAAAATCTCTCACAGTGATTTAAAACAGGAAAGTTATAAATACGCCCAATGCAGAATCTGAATACAGTTTTCAGAAAGCTGTCAGTTGTTCCTTACAATTCTGCAGGAAGAGAAAATGTTTGTTGATAACAGTGAGAGCTCTGCCCAAGAAATAGTTCTGAAATACAGAGCAGAGTCTGCATCTCAGATGAGAGATTAGTGGGGGAATTGCAGGTGATACTTTTTTTCGTCTTGATCAGATATTGCAGCCCAGCGTCTGTGAGAGAGATTGCAATGATTACAGAAAATAACACAAAGCCAGGCTTTCCTTGAAGCCTTTATTCTTAGTGCTATACAGCACACTCCTTCAGTCTGAGACCAGCTGGTGCAATTAGAGAAAAGAGAAGCATCAGAATTGGAAGGGCAGAATGAAACTCTTGAGGTTTTCTTGTCTGGTATATCCTTGTAGAAACCATTTTAAGAAGGAAGAGGTCATCTGGGCTGAAATAATTTTATACATGACTAAACACTACTGTTACTGCTTTATAAATTGAGTGACAAACCAGAAGACATGGTTTATACCAATCAGAAATACACCTTTAAAGTAATTTCAACAATAGCTTAACATACCAGTGGCTGGCTCATTGCTGCTATTTGCACACTTTGATCACAGACTAGGAGTCTGCTCATCTAGAGCATATGGAAGCACAGCCAAAGCAATTGCTTCTTCTGCACATAATTTAGGACATCATTAAATGCAAGAAAAGGACGACTGAATAAATCAGCATAGTAGGCAGAGATCACAAAACATAAAAATCCTACTCTGTTTTTTTTAGAATTCATAGTGAAGGAGCATTTAAAGAGCAATCTGGAGCAAGATATGACCTATTTTTATTATTTTTTTACAAGGAGCTTCTTCCAAATATAAAGAAAACACTGGAGGCAGTTAGAAATTGCTTGTTTGAAAAGCGGCTGTAGTATTTATCTGCCTCCTACACACTAGCAGCTTGTAAAATGGGAATAATTTAGAAGAAAAACATTTCCAGAATCAGCTTCACACTGCCATAGCACCATGGTTTTAGAGAAACCTGTGTTTTTCTTCATTTTGAGTACAATAGCTATCCATACCTACTCTGCAGGGTCATATACCTGAGAAATTATATATGTATATTTATGCTTAGATACATTTTTAAACTAAGGCTTCTTGTAACTATAGTAATCTTCAGACAGCTTTTTTTCTGTATGTGGGTGCACAATGTGTGCACAGTCTCATTTGAAAGCAGAATCAGACAAAATGTGTGTTCATTGGCTCCCTGTAATGGATTCAATCTCCAAAATGTGAGTAAGATAAAAATTACATTAAAGGCTGAACCTCTTTCAAGTTTTGCAATAGCATAGAATCATAGCATCATAGAATGGTTTGGGTTGGAAGGGACCTTAAAGATCATCTAGTTCCAGTCACCTGCATGGGCAGGGACAACTTCCACTAGACCAGGCTGCTCAAAGCCTCATCCAACCTGGCCTTGAGCACTTCCAGGGAGGGGGCATCCACAGTCTCCCTGGGAAACACATTCTGGTGTCTCACCACCCACACAGTAATGAATTTCTTCCTGATGTCTAACCTAAATCTATCCTCTTGCAGCTTAAAACCATTACTTCTAACTGTAATTACACACCCTTGTAAAAAGCACCTTCCCAGCTTTCTTGTAGGCCCCCTTCAGGTACTATAAGGTCTCCCCAGAGCCTTCTCTTCTCTAGGCTTAAATAGCCCAAACTCTTTCAGCCTGTCTTCACAGCAGAGGTGCTCCAGCCCTTTGACCATCTTCATAGCCCTCCTCTGGACTCACTCCAAGAGCTCTATGTCCTTCCTGTGATGAGGGCTCCAGAACTGGACACAGTACTCCAGGTGGGGTCTCATGAGAACAGAGCAGAAACGAAGAATCACCTCCCTTGACCTGCTAGCCATGCTTCTTTTGATGCAGCTCAGGACACTATGTGCAAGCACACATTGCTGGCCCATGTTGAGTTTTTCATCAACCAATACCCTCAGGCCCTTCTCCTCAATGCTGTTTTCAATCCATTCTCAACATGTTCAACATCTGTGAGAGAGGAGTGAGAAAATATGAGAGAAGCTACTCAGCAGACACCAAGGTCATTGAGGAAGAAGGGGGTAAAAGTACTGAAGGCACCAGAGCAGATTCTCCTGCAGCACATGGAGGACCATGGTGCAGTGGATATCCACCCTACAGCCCATGGGGAACTCTGTGCTAGAGCTGGTTTATGTGCCTGGAAGGAAGCTGCAGCCTGTGGAGAGCAGGCTTCTGGCAGGACCTATGTCCCCTGGGGGACCCTCACTGGAGCAGTCTGTTCCTAAAGAACTGCAGCCTGTGGGAAGGACCCACTGTAGTATGAGCAGAATGTGAGAAGGAAGGAACAGCAGTGTTATGGTCTGACTGCAGCCTCTTTTCCTAACCCTCCTGCAGCACTCAGGGGGGAGACAAAAGAGTCAGGAGTGAAGCTGAGCCTGGGCACAAGGGAGTGGTTTAGGGGGAAGGCCTCACTACCCTTATCTCTTATTAATTGGCAATAAATTAAATTCATCTCCCCCAAGTCAAGTCTGTTACACCCTGATGGTAACTGGTGAGTGATCTCCCTCTCCTTATCTTGACTCACAAGCTCTTCACCTCATTTTCTCCAGCTGTCTTGCTGTGGAGGGGAAGGGAGAGAGCAGCTGGGAGCCAGCCAAGGCCAACACAGCACATGGGAAAATTATGGATGTGGGAGGATGAAGGCTCAGATAGTGACACTTTTTTTTTCTTGTGGTAGACTTTCCAGAGTTTAGTGCCTCTGTTTAAGAGTAGAATTTCAGCTCTAACTGGGAATGCATTGTGGTTTCAGTTAATGCAATAAAACATCACAAGTAACAGTGGCCTTTGTAGTCAAGCTTAGTTATAGTCAGTAATAAACTCTAACTCACTGGAAATCATACTCATTGGAGGACAGATAGGTGGTAAAAATGTCATATAACCTCCTATTTGTATCTGTACCTTTCATAGGTTCTTTTTCAATCTTTAAATGTCATGTAAATACAACTTAAGAATGTATCTACATTTTTATTGGTTTATCAGCTAATGGTGTTTCAGATCTGAATGCACTTAACCGGTGCTGTAGATCAAGAATGCAATTATTCCATTCATTCACCACTCATAAATGCAGATTCTGGACTTATCCAGTAATAATGTAGTCAATTCTTGGTGCATTTTGCTTCTTATGGTGAAGCCTAACATTAGCTTAAGTGATGCAGCAAGGAGAGTCAGAAACAACTGGCAGCTCTTCATTAACAATCTGAACCTTGACTTGCAGCAATCTGCCCCATGGTAGCAGTTCAGGGAACTAATAGTTAATACATGAATGCATTAAGTCACTCTAAAAGATTTAATTCCTCCCAAATAAAACAAATTTAAATGCCATCTCAGCCATAATGGAAGCTGTTGCTGGCCAGAACATTGACCTTAAATTATTTTATTTGCGAGGAATTCAGTCATTATAAATTGATTTCTGTAGTTGTTGTTTCTTTGATTAAATGAATTTTTGTGTACATGGAGAAACAAAGTATTTGACTTCTAGGGAAAGTTATAGAAAACAGCCTGATGCCTTGTGCCTGGGGGAATTTGAGCACTTAAATTCTACCTGTACCATGTTTGAGATTCCTAGATCCTTAAATGAGGGTTATAAACTTCTGCACTCAGGTGTGTTACACAGTCAAGCTATGTTTTTTGTCATTGACTTCAACAAAATGCTACTTGCTGTGTTTTCAGAGACAAGGGTTGGCCTGTAAAAATCAGCTTCCCTCCATGACTCACAAAATCTATTCTGAACAGGGAATAATTATTTTTTTTCAGCATGCTTGAGTGGTTTGTTCCACTGTATGTGATGGTTTTGTCTCTGCTTTTATTTTACACAGGGAGATCAGGGTATTCCAGGGGACAGAGGTCCACAAGGTGAACGAGGGAAACCTGGCCCATCAGGAGAAAAGGGAGATGTGGGTGCTACAGGACCACCAGGAGACAGAGGCTATCCAGGATCACCAGGTCATCAAGGTCCCCCAGGTTTACCAGGACCCCCAGGGTTTCCAGTAAGTAAATATGTTTACCTTGGTTGCTTGTGAATTCAGAGCACCTGGAGGCAGCATGTGTTGAGTAATGGAAATTCAATCAAGCAATACCACAGTAGCAGAAATAAGATGTCTCTGAGATAATCCCAGTGTTCAGCAAAGAGGTGAAAAAAATATACCCAGGTGATAGAGCAGTTATTTTTTTCTTGTTTTTTTTTTAAAAAAAAAACCTTTGTTTATTTTTTTAGCTCCTGACAAATCAATATCACTACTCAATACTGTTAATTTTCAATTTTTTCATAAGTTTGAGAGCTAAAATGAAGTCTTTGCAGCTGAGAAAGAAAACAAAGCTGACAAAAAATATTCCTAATAGAAGGCAAATCAGCATTTAAAAAGACAGTAAGGTTCTGTCTCTCAGTCATAGATATCTTGGTTTTTCTCCCTGTGCACATTCTGTGATCCTTGTTAAGGATTCTTTTTCCCTTGATCAGATAGGGAAAAGCTCTAAAAACCTTTGCCAGTGAAGTTATTGGTCCCGTGATGCAGTTTTCATTGGTCAGTTGCACATGGGACCTGTTAGTCCCTACTGGGGATGAGAAGTTGGCAAATGCTGTGCAAAAGGCAAGTAAAGCCAAGCAGTGTCACTAGACATCCTCACTGTCTTACACAAATTGGTTTCCATAAATTAAGCATAATTTCAATGCACATAACATACTGACCATCTTGACACTTTAGAGTGCCTCTTCCACCTCATGGGTTTAGTGGTCTTTGTAATATTACAGTGTATTTGTAATTAAGTAGCCTTTGAAGGAAATAACACTAATATTGGATATCTGGTAAATGCTTTACATTTTTAATGCTAATTTCAGGGGGTATTTAAACTTTTGTAGCATGATAAAGTGCCTTCTCTATGTTTCTTCTGATACATATCACCTTTCTTTTTTCCTCATCAGGCTGATATAGTCACACTTGAAGAAATAAAAAAATATATCAAACAAGAGGTTCTTAAGGTTTTTGAAGGTAAGACAATGAAGTGCTATGCAACTAAACAGAATCTTAAATTCTGTTCTAAATGCTTTACATCCCTACAGCATTTTTATACATTCCTCTTTATGTCACTTAACTTACATTGGACTTAGCAGCTGCCTTATTGCTGTAGCTCTTTAAGTGTTGTTTAAGTCTACCTAATATAAATATGTTCCAAAAAAATATAAGCTGTATTGTCTGTTAACCAGAGTATTTTCTCATGTAAAAGATTAGCATTAAAAGGTAGTTTTCTCTAAATCATTAAAGCAAGCATGTACATATCATTGTAGATATGTAAATGTATCGCTTATTACTGCAGATACATATGTATTTACAGGGTAGATAGTCTACAGTGTAGAAGAGTGTGGCCAGTAGGTCAAGAGAGGTCATTCTCCCCCTCTACTCTGCCCTGGTGAGGCCACATCTAGATCTGCATTCAGTTCTGGGCTCACCAGTTCAAGAGACAGGGAACTACTAGAGGGAGTCCAGTGGAGAGCAACAAAGATGACCGGGGGATTGGAGCATCTCCCTTACGAGGAAAGGCTGAGAGAGCTGGGACTCTAGCCTGGAGAAGAGAAGGCTGAGGGGAGAGCTTGGTAATGCCTGCAAGTATCTAATAGATGGGTCAAGGAGCATGGATCCAGCCTCTTCAGTAGTGACAGGACAAGGAGCAATGGGCACAAGCTGGAACACAGGAAGTTCCACTTAAATACAAGGAAAAACTTCTTTATGGTGAGGGTGACAGAGCCCTGGAACAGGCTGCCCAGGGAGGTTGTGGAGTCTCCTTCACTGGAGATATTCGAGACCTGCCTGGATACAGCCCTGAGTGATGTGCTGTAGGCAATCCTGCTTTAGTAGGTGGGTTGGACTAGATGATCTCTGGAGGTCCCTTCCAACTCTGACAATTCCATTATTCTGTGATCATTAAGACATTGAAGATTTATTGAAGTGGAGATGGTAGAAATACCCAATCATTTTGATCACCTAGTGGATGACTATCTAAATGAGAGAAAGGCTGGACAGCTTTCAGTCATGCAGGTCTAAATTGTTGTACATCTTCAGCAAACACTGCAGAGCTCCAAAGCTCCATTGCAGGTCACCATCTTCAGGCACAGTTTTAGGCAAGTACCATATTCCACCAAGGCCTTTGTACTATGCAAGCATTCTTAGGTGTGTTCTTAATCTGAAAAGCAAGTATTTTTCTTCCAAAACATTTTCTTAATCATTGTTGAAAAGCTGTAACTCAGGTAGAGTCCAAAACGAGCTTCTGCTCAAACACTTCCTAATAGTATCTTCTCTTCAACTGAAAAATGCATTTCTTATGTACACGATATTACACTCCCAAAGTTCTAGAAGAAGTTCCTTGGCCGAAGTCCTCCCCTAGTACCATTTTTATTTTTTTTTTGCCCACTCTTTCTACACTCTAATTTCTTTCTTAAATCTTAAAATTCCATCAACAGTAAATACCTGCTAAATTGTGGAATGCTTAGTGAAGTTTTTTTAATCCAATGAAATGAGACAGATTCGAGTTTGGTGCCTATTTTGTCTGCCTCTAAGGAACACTGAAATAGTGTAAATTAATCCACCAGCAGGAACACTTTGTGCTGAAATCTCTGCAATTAATAGAATTTGCTGAGAACATATAGGGGTTTTTATAACTGTTTTCAGAGTTTCAGCACATTCCAAAAACTGTTCACAGTATTTAAACTCTACTTTGCACCTTAATGTAAATTGCAAGCATATAAGGGGTGGAAAATACTAATTATTCTGTGTTCTTATGTTTTAAGTACTTCCATGAACAGGAATCAGAAGTAATTTGAAATATTGGAATACATTAGTAAAAGAGAGTAATAGAAACTTCAAATTCATTTAGATTATTTCACAGGACAAAGACTCAGACATGAGTCTGAGTTGGAATTGAAAGCCTTAGTACTTCTAGGAGCATTTACTACCTTGACATTTAGAAGGATTAAACACTCTACTTCCAGAAACGTACTTTAGCTGGGGCTTTGGGATTTATTTATTTTCCTGTATTTTGCTGGCAGATTTCTTACCCACTTTTTCTTGTGTCCTTTGTTAATGAAGAAAGGATGGCTCAGATTGTATCCCAGCTGAAGCTGCCTGCTGCAATGCTTGCCTCCCAAGCTCATGGAAAACCAGGGCCCCCAGGAAAAGATGGGTTACCAGGGCCACCAGGAAAGGATGGTTTGCCAGGCCCACCAGGAGAACGTGGAATTCAAGGTAGGATTTTTTTTAAATGTTCCCATGAGTTGTATCTTGACATCTTTATACATTGCTAATGATTATTAAATAAGCCAGGATTATGTACCTAGCTTCCTAATGATTAACTTTTAAAACTGTACTTATGTTTTTCCAGACTAGTTCTAAATATTAACCCATAGTAAACGTGTGCATTTTACTGATTAAAAACTCCTAATCTGTGCATTTTATTCTAATAAATGATAAAGTTAATTACTGAAAGATATCTACTGTAGCAGGTGGGGTTTTTTCTCCAAAATACTTTAAGAAGAAAAACTATGCCAGCACTCTATTTAGATCATGTTCCATATTGAGAGACCATCTTATTTAAGAAATAAAATTTGATCTCCAAGTCTGAAAGCTCTCAGCTCTGATCCTGAGAGGAAAACCTGAAGGCAAATATTATTCTTTAAAAAGCAGTGAAAACTGCAATATTGACACATTAATTTTTCTTACAATGAGGTAATCTATTTTCACAAATCAGTTTCAGAGCAATCAGGTTTTCACTACACCGCGAGTGGTAATTTGTACATTGCGATGCATTTGGACAGGTTAGAACTCTGATTTCACTGAACTGCCTTTGCAAAATTAGCTTCAAGGGATCCAGGCTCATTATTACTGTGTTCTACTGTAGAGTCAGCCTCTCAGAGATTAGAAGGAAGAGGAGAACAGAATAAAAAGGAAAAAAGAATGTATCAATTAATAATTCTTTGTGGGTGGATATGATGTAATTTTCAGTTTATCTGTAGGTAGTTCTTTATTATCTTTTGTTAGTTTGGTCTGCTCTGGAGTCAGAGCAAGTCAGACTGGAATGAAGAACATGAAAGAAAAGCTGAAGATGTGTGGACCCTAAAGCTATGAGAAGAATAAAGACTTACTAACACTGATAAGCACAGACCCCTGACAGAAGCTTGAAAAATGTGATGAGCTCAGAATGAGAAGAACAAGAATAAAGAATCAAGGAAAACAATAAAAGGCTTAGAATCTTATAACACTGACTTCATCATTACCTAAATATTCAGATCACTGTGAGCAGTCAACTTCAATGTCAGTGTCAAATTGTTCAATGATGATGTATGTGGTGGACAGTCTCAGATGCTTCTGAGAAGTGGAACGTTGCACTAGGTTTCATTTCCAGCAAGTAAGCATCAAGCATAAAGGTGATAGCTGTGCTTGGAAAAAAAAAAAAAAAAAAAAAAAAAAAAGCTGCTTATTCATGCCTTATGCTTAGTTAAAAGTAGTGCCCCATGGATACAGGATTTCCATTTATTTTACTGATAAGCTCAATACCCTTTTTTTTTTGAGTAGCAAAAGGTAAGCTAAGTGAGAAGCATTTAGTTCTCTGATACATCAAACAGATATCCGAAGTTATACTTCCAAGGAAAGATAACCAGAAATATGTCTTGCCTCCTTCTTGTACTCTGAATAAGATAGAGTCCTGTGATAGAAGCACACTTACAAATACCCTTCATGCCTTTCCCAGTTGTGCCTGTTACTGTTTTGTGCCTACAGTAAAAAGAAATTCAAATCTCTGAGCAGAATAAAAATCATCCTTCCATATCCCATCTTACTTTCAGCCATAAGAGACATAGCAGACAAGGCTTCTTGGAGAAGCATGTGACATGCATATGTGTCTGAGACCATCGAGGTACATGCAGTGGGCACATATGCCCAAGTCACAGTTATGCATTTGGTGTTGATTGTCTGGTATTCAGTATTGTATTTATCCCTTGGGTGTAGGCCAGACTGCCAACTCCAGGCAGTTCTGTGCAGAAATACACATCTAGGCTAGCAGAGTGCAGCAATCACTTGTCCCATACAGCCAGTGGCAAGAAGTACTTTTGGAGAGCAATTAACAGGCCCTCCAGGAGCACCTCCAGATCCTGTTACTGGTGCTGCACCCTGAGCAGAGAGCCTGCTAGAGCCAGGCAGCGGGGTGGGTGCAGGTTGCTGTGTGTCCAAGGAGGTGTTTAACTTGCAGCTTTGCAGGGGTCCTCCTCTACACCCTGAGCATGGTGCCAGTTCCCCTGGGAAATTGGTGTGACCTGGCTGGATTCCACCAGAGCCTCCTTCTGCACAGCAAACCAATATGCAGGAGTTAGTGCCAGAAGCAGAAAGCATAGACACTAACTTCTGGAAGCATAGGCATCATCTTCAAAAGGTGTATTTAAGGAATTGTTAGACTCTTGGCCCTAGAGTCCATAATTTCTAATGAAGTACAGAATTGCTACTTGCTGGCCTTCAGCAAGGCTGCTCATAGTGTACCTCAGGTACTCCCAGTGGTTCAGATACAAATAATTTTGAGTTTTTATGATGGTCTCAATAAAAATAGATCATGCTAACAAAAAGCAACAAAGAATTACAACTTAAATTATGAAACATGTAATTGGGATTTAAACAGACTTTGCATAATAGTGATTTGAAGATTTATGTATATATATGTTTTTCTTCATTTTAAAAAATAACCTATGGCATATGCATCAGCAAGCTGCTGCTGTGAGGCACTGTTACCAGTGAAATTTATAGCGTCTGCTTGAAGAGGAGCAGAGGAACTTGTTTACTCTGTGTGCATTTTAAAGGATGCTGATGTCTTACAGAGAAATGGGAATTTATTTCAAGACTTTATAGACAAGATATAACAATGTCATGCATTTGCAAACAGTTTGTTGTGTGTTAAAGGCTCTAGATCAATTAACTCCACTGACTTCACTGGATTTTTAACACTATAATAGTAAGAGAATTTTTGTTCATTAGATCAAATGCACCTTGTGATAATTTTGCAATCCAAAGATCCTTTATGTTAGCGTGACTTGTTTTTTTTCTCTACTGAGAAAAAAAGATTTTGTCTTAGTTAAACTTTCCTGTTTTTATCAAGTTAAGTAAACAAGAGTTTTTTATAGGTCTTCATAACTTATGGTAGCCTTGAGAAATCAGATAATTCAACTCAGGAAAGAAAAATACCATGTGATGAACAGTGAAAGTTCTTTATTTTTATTGCTAATCTCTGTTGTAAAATTGGTGTCTCTTATTATAATTATTAATTTCTATGGTGGGAGCATGTAGGAACCTTGCCTTAACATCATTGAATTGGATGTTGTCCAGACACAGACAATATTCTGGAATAGCTGCCCTGGTTTCAAGTGTTACCTCCTGTAAACTGCTTTTTGCTGTGAATGGTGAAGTTAACCTGGTTTGCTTTGATTTGAAACTCAGTTGATACCTCTCAGCTGAGAGGGCTATAGCACACAGAAGGAATTCAGAATGTGCACTGGTGGCTGGATAAGAGTGACTGCTCTTAGCACCCTTCCTGCTGCTTTGCAATTTTTTTGATCTTAAGAGAGCGGAATATTTGCACAGTAAAACACAGTGGGGTATTCGGTGTCATTGTTCCCTGTTGTGGTGATATGTCTGCCTCATGTAGGTATTAAAGAACCTCAGAATTCTCTAGATATAGACATGTTAGTTTCAGGTGCTGGTTTATCCATAAGGATGGAAGAGGGTCTCCGTGCTATAGGTGGAATACCTTTTGGAGCTGTTTAAACAAGGGAAAGTTTTTCCTCCAATTTCATAGACATGAATGTGTGTCATTTCCAAGTACAGCAGAAGGTGCTACAGAAGCCCTGCTTCTGACCATGATTTTCGTGGAGAGCACTAAACCAAGAGCTGTATTTTAGCATGAGCAGAAGAGTGAAGAGTGCTTATCCGTTTGAACACGTACTTGCTACCTATTGCTACCAAGTGTTTACCATGCTACCCACCTTGGGTACGTGTTTACAACTTTTGGGTTGCAGAAATCACAACGTAACTTCTGGAATCTGAATGAAAGGCTTTGCTAAAGCAGTTGCCTTTTAATCATACATGTACCTCTTAATGGAATTGTAATTCTACCAGTAAAAATAGACAGTAACTTCTATGTGCTTTTACATGAAAAACAATAAATCAATATCTGATTTAAGTGTATGGTAATATTTTCCTTTGACTGTGAGTGAGTTTGTCACTTTAAGCTCAGAGAGAAGGTAATAGCCTCTAGAAGTGTAATCATGGCCTTACTCCTGAGCAAACCATACCTCAAGTGTTTTCCTTGCCAGAATGACACATTACATGGTTCAGATTGTTTACACATAGGCCTGTTTACTAGTATGCTTACACCCTGTGAAATAAAGCCTTATTTTTAGAAAAGATACCTGAAAATTCTTGTCTTACACTTCAGTGTCAACAGAACGTACCTGCCACTGTGTACAAACTGCATCTTTGCATGTGAATTCAGAAACAACCAGTAATGCTTTATATTATCTGAATCATAGATTTGCATTGGCAGGCTGCTCTCTTTGTCCTTTTGTTGGTTTTTCTTTTCCTTATTGTCTTGAATTCCAATGATGTTTACAGAATCTTTTGATCTATCTCAGTCCTTTTCCAACTATGATGTCTCAGATACCTACAGTAATGGTTATCATGGAGCCAGTAAATGTGATATATCATAAATGTGATTTCTCTCTTTTCACTGCAACTAAAGAAATGCAAAATAAATTATTAGTGGCAGCACTGCTTTGTAAAATTACAATTAACTGGGTTTGTAGTGAGAAATGTACTGTAACTATCTATTGTAAATTAAGAAATATAGATATATATATATAATAAATAGGAAGTGTAATTGATCCTGTTGTTGTGTGATTGAGCTTCTCAAACAGTAGCAGCTACCTACGCATTACACAAGATTTTCAGAGCCACCCAGCTTGGTGTAGTTATAACTACTACTGTGGTCATAAAAGAGCAAAATCAAGGTTCACAATTGAATACAAGCACCTGCATCTTCCTTTTTCTGAGTGTTTATAGCTTGTGTGCCTACATGCCTTGTACAGTTCTGCTTAACACAGCTTAGTGTCCAGAATGCATGATTGAGTTTGTTCATCCATGGGTGTTTAAACAGCTGCTTTCCTTTTGCTGCATTAGGCATGTCACTCTGCATGCATTTGCTAATGGTTTTACCCCACTGTGATTTCCTTGTTGGAGTGCTGAGAGAAGAGTAAGATAATTGATGCTCCGTTTTGAAACCTAGAATGATTGCAACAGATACTAGATTTTCTACCAAAGTGTATAACAAGCTCATGTTTAGTGGAAAACTTGACTACTCTGTATGCCATTCTTACTGCTTTGTGTCTGTTGCCACAACCCTGAATTTGTATCTGCAGCACTTGCAATAGTTTTATCTGGATTGTCCTGTGAAGTACCAGTGTTGCCATAGACCACAGTGCACTGACAGGACAACCTTTGCCATCCCTCTGCCAGCGCCCATTAACCTTCATGAGACATCAGGTGGATTGATACCACCATGCTGACTGGTCAGCCGTGACTCTTCTCTTCTAATTTAAATTAAGTTACAGCTCTTCCTCTTGAGAAGTTTATTGTCTGGCATACGCAACACTGGAAATGGTTGCTGAAGCAGAACAAATTTGATTCTAAATGTGACCAGAAGTCGCCAAATTAATATTCAACACACATCACCTTACATGCCAATGCCTGAGGTGCTGGGGAGGGAAGAGAGGTTCCTTTTAAAATATGGGCTTGGGGCAGGTGTCACATTTTCTCCTTTAAAAAAGCCTTCATCCCCTGTCCTACATAAATTATATTCTCTAAACAGAGAAGCTACATTTTTAGATTGATTCATAACTTGAAATATTAAGCAGAATATTGTCCTCATATCCAGAAGTCCTCTGCTCTAAAGCAGCCAGAGTGTTTCCAACTCAAAAAAATTTTACAAAGAGTTTAAGGAAAAAGGGGTTGGGCACGAGCTGCAGCATTTTAGAAGAGGGAAGCTATTTAGGTAAATACAAAGCTATGGCTTGTGAAGAAAACATACAAATTTTCAAACTATAATTAGTAATCACCCCTTATTAACAATTTGCAAGCTCATGGGTCACAGTAGGCTTTGCATGCTAGAACCCAAAATCTGCACAAGCTCTGAAGATGCCTCATTCCACGTGAGGGCAGCTGTGTGATGCTGCAGAAGCAGTGGGTCTTCTCTTGCAAACAGAGGAATACCTAAGCCTACAGCTGCCAGCTTACAGTCTAAAAAAAGGGGTAGACTGAAAGATTTATGTAGAGTGAGGAGGGCAAAGTCTCACTCAGTTTCGGGGCTATCAGAGAAGGGCTGGTTAGACTCCAGGTGGCCTCGGCATTGCTGCATTTAGCTTTTTATTAGAGGAACTTCAAGAAGATGACTTGAAATCCTGGGGGAAGGTCTGGCTAGCGAACATAGCAAGAGTCCTCTGGGAGAGGGGGCAACAGTTACTGCTAGGAATTCGTGAAGGAACATGGGAACACAAGAGCTGCCCCAGAAACTGAAGTGGGCATGTGTTTTCCCAATTACGTTTGTCTTTATAATTTTGTATCAGTGATACCAGTGGCAGTTCTATTTATAATAACAAGGGCAGCTGTGTGATGCTGCAGAAGCAGTGGGTCTTCTCTTGCAAACAGAGGAATACCTAAGCCTACAGCTGCCAGCTTACAGTCTAAAAAAAGGGGTAGACAGAAAGATTTATGTAGAGTGAGGAGGGCAAAGTCTCACTCAGTTTCGGGGCTATCAGAGAAGGGCTGGTTAGACTCCAGGTGGCCTTGGCATTGCTGCATTTAGCTTTTTATTAGAGGAACTTCAAGAAGATGACTTGAAATCCTGGGGGAAGGTCTGGCTAGCGAACATAGCAAGAGTCCTCTGGGAGAGGGGGCAACAGTTACTGCTAGGAATTCGTGAAGGAACATGGGAACACAAGAGCTGCCCCAGAAACTGAAGTGGGCATGTTTTCCCAATTACGTTTGTCTTTATAATTTTGTATCAATGAGACACGTGGAAGATCACTTTTTATAATAAGAGGATGCTCTTATTTTCATATCTTTATTCTGTGTAGGTTATAGAGGCCAGAAGGGGGAAAGAGGTGAGCCTGGAATTGGACTGCCCGGTGACCCTGGACCACCTGGCCCTGCAGGTACAAGTCTTCAGATTTATTCCTGTTGTTGTTATTTATGAACTAACAGGCCTTCATCCTGGTTCTTATGCTGGTTTTATACCAGTGCCTCTCCTCCCATGGTTGGGTGTAGCATGAGGCCAGACCCCCAGTGCCTTTTTACAGATGAGCTGCCATGCAGCTGTCAGTGATGAAACATAGGGCTCTGCCTGTGCTCTGGCAAGGACTCTGCTAATTCTGACTTTGTTTTACCAGCTACTGGCCTGCCAGGACCACCAGGAACACCAGGATCACCTGGACTGCAGGGGCCACCTGGACCCAATGGGAGATGCAATCCAGCAGATTGTTATTACCACATATCACAGACTCGGTCACGCACCAACGGGAAATAAAACCCTTCTCCCCTAGACACTTGGGTTCACGGTCACTTTTCACTCTTCTCAATAAGTTAATTTAACCTTTGACATATTTGGTGCATTATTTTTTTGCTCAACACTGCACAGTATAGAAATTATTTATAAGGCACAGAATTAAGCCTTGTTCTATGTAATTTGCAGTGTCATTATTGTGAATTGATGACATATATTTTCCAGAGTGCATTCCATGTGTTATGTTTCTTGTATTTATTTTGCATAGAGGAGAAAATAGGCCCAAATAATTTTCATAAGCTTCTTTCTTCAAACAAAAAATACTTTATTATAACTTAAGACAGTATGTATGCCTCAGTATATAATCTGGCTTTATTTTTCTTGATGGTGGTGATGTTTAAGTGGAGAAAATGCATTTCTGAAGTTTTAAAGCATACCTATTTGTGGTGAATGCAGGACCTGAGCTGCAGCACTGGGAACTGTGTTTAGACTAAACATTCATGTCCACCGAGGAGGCTCCAGCACACCTTCTGAACTGTGTCTGTGTTGTGCACCCTGAATGCTACCCACCATTTCAGACACTTCCTAGATGTTGAAGAAGGAAACGAAGATGTGCTTATGATCTCTCTAATCCCATCCAATGTTTTGCTTCTGACTGACTGAAATTCACCAGGTGTAGACCCGAGAAGCATCTCTTCTGACTGGATGTTGTCCCAACTGAGGGTTTGTACCTTCATTTAGTACGTGGTTACGTATAGTCCAGGTACTAAACCTGGTAGGGGCTGGTGTGGATGTAGAGGGTGGTGGGGACACAGTGAGACAGTCGAAGGAGGAGCTTCACAAGCTTCTAATCTTACTGGCTGCAAGGTTTTCGTCTTCCTTTTGCAATAATTAAGTGTCAAAATAAGCTTGAGAAGAATGTGGAAACAACAGAATGTAAACCTCACAGGTCCTAATAACTGGTAGCAAAAAAATATTCAAATTCAAGAGAAATTCAGAAAAAAATGCAAAACCCTCCCTGGAAAGGTGAGCAGGACTGCATGGAGTTTGCAGGCATTGGGTAAATCCTGCAAGACCAGCCATTGTAAATGAAGAACAAAACAGAACAAAGTGTAAATCCTGGGTTGAGCAAAAGAAAAGATGGAGGAAACTGATCACACAGGGGCTGATTCTGAAAAACTGGGAGGGGGATTGGCCAAAGCTTCACTCCTAGTTATTAGGAAAAGATGATCCTAGATTAGTCCTATGGAATTTGCTATAGTGCAATAGAAATTGAAGGTGCTATGGAGAGAACATGGACAACTATAACCCCCATACTCAAAAAAGATCCCTGGTACAAAAGCAGTACTGAGGGCTCTTCCCCCACCATTAGGAAGCCAGTCATTCTGTTCCACATCAGGCAGGGAAGTGGTTTTGGTGACTTCATGCTTGAGCGGTACTGAAGTGTCAGGCAAGTGTTCCCAAATTGGAAGCTGGGAATTTGCTGGGTTCCAGAAAAACTGCTGTGGTACACGAATCTGGCTGACTTCTGGTTTCTCCTTAAAAATGGTATTGAATGACTGGTGGGAGTATTGAAAAAACAAAACACATCACGTTTGTTGTGAACAAGTGGAGTTCCTAACAGTTGCACCCAGACCAGAGGAGCTAAATGAGTGCAGGAGGTAATGGGGTTACCCCAGGCAGTGCGGAGTACAGCCTTCAGGCACACCTCTGGGAAGGAAAGGATACCTGCCTGACTTGTCAGTCTGTTGGATGGTTTGAGGAACGAAAGTGCTTGCCGCAAGAAAGATGCTTATGTAAACACCTGGGATGGGAAAGGGGCAGCAGGAAGGAGGATGGCAGAAACCTGTGGTGTACCATGAAACCACCTCTGGAAGATCTGCAACCTGTGATACACCCTGTAGCTGGGTCAGGGAGCTTTATCTGTTCATGAGGCTGGGGGTGGACAGGTCAAAGCCAGCAGGCAAACCACAGTCTCACACCCCCTTTTCTGCTCATGCCTTGGTGGCAATAACTGCCTCTTCACTAGACCAGCAATTTCCTTGCTCTGCAGGTGGTGGGTGCTCATCCCACCGGGATGAAGCTGCATTTGGAACCAGTGGTCCTGCCTGTGCTTAGCTTTAAAGGTGCTGCTCCCATTCCAGACCTTGTGTGCCCACAGAGCATATCTTGGTTTGCTCTGCCATGTCAGCCACCTTTCCAGATCTGGTCTTCAAAGCTCCATAGCTGTCTGAATATGGGAACTGGCAGGCAGTGTGAAACGAAGTGCTTGTTTCTTCTGACAGGCCCCACATGCTGTTCTCCTTTCAGTCAGATGAACTGCTGGTCAGGTATCTTGCATGAACATTTTTTCATTTATTTCTTTTTACTTCTCTAGTAATTCCAATATATGTAAAAATCTAAATATTTTTTTACTTCATAAGTTAATGTAAAACTTCATTTTCTGTGATAATATCAAAAAGGGTGCTGTCTTGTAAAGAGGGTCTGCGTGACTGAGAGGTTTCCAAGCAGCCCCTGTCCTGGAAGGCTGTACATATGCACCATGTTAGTGGTATGTGTATATTTTGGAGCTTTTAGGTAGATGAAACCAAGCATCTGGTATTTTCCAGATGCAATTGCTGTATGTTAATGTACTTGAACTTACCAGAAAGCAGAACACTTTTTATATTTGAAGAAGTTTTATTTTTTCATCTATGTTTCCTACAGATGCCTTTTTCTTTTTATAGGCTCAAATCTAAAGGTCATTTTAAAATGTGTTTCAACACTTTCAGTGGCTTTGCAGGTAACTTTGGTAATTATTTTGTTGCATTAAGTTGTGGCTGCCCCTTCCCTGGCAGTGTTCAAGGCCAGGCTGGATGGGGCTCAGAGCAACCTGGTGTAGTGGGAGGTGTCCCTGCCCATGGCAGGGGGGTTGGATCTAGGTGATTTTTATGTCCCTTCCAACCCAAACCATTCTATGATTCTGTGATTCTTTTATTGTTTTATTTTGCTAAAAGCCCACTTAGTTTTCTCATGTGAGAAAGTTGATATTTTTTGATATGGGCTATCTCAATATCTTTTTTTAAGATGCCATGTTCTTCACTGGGGTACAACAGAGTTAATCCCAGGTTAGCTTTTCTTCATGCTGGCTTGCTCCTACTCTGTGTTTTTATAATTCAAAGCAGAATGTAGCTGGAAACCTGCTTCTGCATGGTTCTCAGATTTGGCCCCTGAAATTTCTTTTCAGTTTCAGACTGATGATCTCCTAGTTTTTTGGAAGGGGTTAGGAAGGGCATGGGTGTGCTAATCTAGTTTGTGATTTGCTTCATCAATTTCTTATCTGTTTTGAGCAGGCTGTGCTGCAGTAAGCAGCACAAGAAACTAAACATGGAGAATTATTTTTTTCCAATGGCATAAGGCCCTTTTCTGATTTTTACATACAACAGGACTTTGAACTGAAGTATATTTAACAAAACATTTTAAACTTTTCTTAAAGGCTCTTTAAGCTTTGTTCTAGTTTAGGGTCAAACTATCATATTTTATGTCAAATTGCTTTATCCCCTACTAAGAATGTGTTGGGATTTTCTTCAAACAGCTACATACAGAGCTACTCAGCTTGCCTAAGGAAGTAACAAACTTGGTAAGAGGGAAACTTTTCTGAGGCTGCACACAGTGGAGTTCAAATGCCTTTCCAGTACAAAGGGTAAAGCCTGGGCTGAACTCACTGTGTCTCTGATTTTGTTCTTGAGCCTGATTTTTTTTTTTTCCGTAACATCCATTTAGTTTTGCATAGTAGTATTTGCAGAAATACTGCCTTTCTGGGGTAATTGTTTTCAGGTAATATTCCTTTAATATGTTTGTGTTCTGTATATACACACTATGGAAGAACATGCAGTAGCAGGACATCCTGCTTTCAGGCATAATTTCTGTGCACTGTAATGATGTGTGTCTCTTGGGGAGCAGGGACCCTCCTGAGGTTAATACAACATTGTTCTTAAGTACAACATTGTACTTCATAGGACTGAGGAACGGTGAAGCCCGCTTCATAATGCTTTAGGAAACCAAGACTTTTGTCTTAAACTGGATTCATTTTCAATGCTAACAAAGCACTGTGATCCAGAAACAGGATTGATTGTATCATCCATCCTCCCTTTATGTTCTATGACTGTGGATTAGGACACATGTTAGATAGGCACAGCTTTGTTCAATAAGCGCGTTTTTTAAATGAATGGATAATCACACAAAGGATTTCGGCACTTCTTTTTCACAAGGTTGAAACACTCTTTTTCAAGTCAGTGTACACTCAGTTTTTTTCTTCTTTGTCTGTAATGTTTACATAAAATACTTTTAATAACCCTACAGGCTAAATTAGTGTTTTATAAACTTGTTTCTTCAAATATACTATGTAAAGCCACCCCTAACCTTGCATTTTACCAATGCGGTAGAACTGCTGCTCTAACGTGACATGTTAGGACATGAGAATTATCTCAGGAATCAAAACTATGCTGGTTTGGGGTTTTGTTTCTAATCATATTTTTGTTAGATTCTGGAGGTATTGAGTCACATACATTTTTCTTGAAATCTGCTGTGTCCACTACAGCTAGATTGTACGTGATGGATGTTTAAATCCATCTGCATACATGCAGGTGTAGGCCATGGGAACAAGTTTAACCATGACCTTGCCTTGGCTGGTGTTTAAGTGGAAAACTCAAGCTTTATGATACACGAAGGAAATGTGGTCTTTCAAATATTAATTGCTAGCAAATGTTACAGATTCTAGACCAAAATAAGTTTGTAGCTTGAAAGAATGCAGTCTACATGGCTTTTAGCAGTTTTCTCTCAAAGTCTGCTGTTATACAAACATGAATGCATATGATTATTTACTGAAGTTTCAGTGTAAATATTTTGTCTCCAGTCAATATATTTGAAGGCTTTTCAATGACAGACCTTATTTTATAATTTTCCTTCATTTCTGAATGATACGCAGCTGTCACTGAAGGAATCTCAGTACATGCTGATTGGTTGCTTCTTCATTATATTTTGGTTTGCAACATTTAAGGTTCAGTTCAATGGAAATTTATTAAGTGGATAGAAAATTGCTTTGCACAGTATTATGTGGCTGTTTACATCTGAATAGGATTCCGGCTGGAAGTGGAAATATTTCACATACTTCTTGCATGTGATTCTGTCAGAAATGACGACCTTTTCTTCCCTGTCAAATCACAAGCAAGTGGATGTGACTGCAAAGGAGAGAAAGGAGAGGCTCAAAACCACCTCAGCGAGCCCCAGGGGGCATTTGGCACTGGGACTGCCACCCTGGGCCAGCTGAATTTTGGGGGGGAAGGGAGTAGCTTTTGAGTACACCAGGGTCAGGCTTGTGCTTCCTTCATGTTGGTGAAACTTAGAGCTCCACAGTCCACAGGAAAAAAAAAACAGCAGCAG